GATGAGCAAAGTGCAGGAAATGGGTTTTGTTCAGAAGATGCTGTTTACACTGGGCTACAATTATAAACTGGAGCAGATCAGGAGGGGCTATGACGCACCACTCTGCAATGCGTAAGAAGCATCCTATGCGTTCCTGTGACCCTTGCACTAAAACATGATTGGCTTGTTTAACTTAAAATCAAAACACTGCGTGATCTCTCTTTGCAGCTTGTTGTTCCGGAAAGTAAAGAAACTGCTGGGTGGGCGAGTGAGGATGATGCTGTCTGGAGGAGCCCCCCTGTCCCCGGCCACTCAGAGATTTATGAATGTGTGTTTTTGCTGTCCAGTGGGCCAGGGCTACGGCCTCACTGAGACCTGTGGAGCAGGCACTATCACAGAGGGTAAGATAACATTTTGAGTGCCCAAAATAATGACAGATGAGTTCAAATTTAGGCATTATTTAATTTAAAAGAAACAAATCCTGACTTACAGTTTTATTTTAAGTTGGATTAACTAAAGTGCCTCAGTTCCCTAGTGATTTGCTGACTGGAAGCAGTCATTATTGTAGTGAGCCTGGCCAATAGTCACACAGGATAAACAAATACCTCAGGATAGAAGCAGATGGGCCTAAATTGAAAATAATGTTTAAATGACTGTTCTTAAGAAATGTTTTTCATTTTACAGTTGAAGACATCAGCACTGGTCGTGTTGGAGCTCCTCTGATTTGCTGTGAGATTAGACTCAGGGACTGGGCTGAAGGTATGTTTGGGGGGGAAAACATGCCGGGACACGCTTTTGCAGAATGGAAAGATCTCCATTGCAGCGTAATCATGTGTTTTTTATTTTCACTCAGGTGGCTACACCAGTAAAGACAAGCCAAATCCAAGAGGGGAGATCTTGATCGGTGGCCCCAATGTAACCATGGGCTACTACAGGAGTGAAGGCAACAATCAGGACTTCTTTGTGGATGAAAATGGTCAGAGATGGTTCTGCACCGGAGATGTAGGAGAGGTTTACCCAGATGGCTGTCTACAAATTGTTGGTGTGTATATTTCTTTTTCTGGGTGGGGGTGGGATGCTACTGTGAATGATACGTATTGTATAAAGCCCTTTGAGTGCTTAAGTAGAGTTTTTTTTTTTAAGTTTTTTTTTTAAGTGCTATATAAAAATCAGTCCATTTATCATTTACTTTTTCTCATTAAGACCGCAAGAAAGATTTGGTGAAACTGCAGGCTGGAGAGTACGTGTCTCTCGGTAAAGTGGAATCTGCTCTGAAAAACTGCCCTCTTATAGACAACATCTGTGCTTATGCAAACAGGTGAGTGACCTACTTTTTTATTTATTTATTCAGGGAAAGTTAAAATGGTAGGAGATGCAATTTAGAGGCAAAGTTTTTCCATATCCTAATATATGATTTACATCTGGATCAACGAGTATAGTGGCAGATTATAAACGATATGGGGAAACAGCTGAATGAATTTGCAGATGGTGACCTTTCCACGAGCTGTTTACAGTTCAAACATCATATTCAACTGCTGCAGGCGTCTGTGTTTTTACTCTAAACTTAAGAACACGAGTGCTTCTTGAAATATTTTTTCATTCTTCACGTTTGACTTTGGAGAAAAATTACATTATAGCGATCAGTCATAGATTCATATCAGTTTCATATGCATGATAGGCCAGCTGAAGTTTTGTGCTAATAAACACTGACTAAACACAGATTTGCATATGACGGGTACAAACAAATATTATTTCACGAGATACTTGCATAAAGTTAGAATTACAGAAAATGTTATTCAGGGTCAGGGTTTCTTATCAGTTGATGCAAATGAACCAGGAAATGAAATAAAAGATAAAGGTACTAGTAAACAACCCAGATGACATTTCCATGAAATGTTTACTTGTACGTATGGTATATTCATCAGCTACAGGCTGTTTCTATTTGTACTATGCATGATTGCGTATCTATAGAAACGTCTTTCACTTATCTCACACTTGGGATTTGAGATGATGATCTCCATTTGAAAATGTGAATGACACTTTATCATCAGTTTAATAAATGCAGTACATAATGCAGTATATGGACAAAAGAATTGGGCCACACCTTGCAATCATTGTTTTCTGTTCTTAGCCAAATGCATATACAACCAAGCACCTAGCCATGCGATCTGCCTTTGCAAACATCCGTGAAAGAGTGGGTCATTGTAAAGAGCTCACTGAATGTGAGTGTGGTGCTGTAATAGGACAAAGTTAGTGTGGGACATTTTTTCCCTACTAGATATTCTACAGTTGACTGTAAATGTATTATTGGAACCACAGCAACTCGGAGCATGTAAAGTTGCAGAGCAGGGTTTTATAAAGTCATCAACGATCTGCTGATTCAATAACTGCAGAGTTTCAAACATCAGCATAAACGCTGTGCACGGGGGAGCTTCACGGTGTGGGTTTGCATGGCTGAGCAGCTCTTGTAGGTCATCCAGCACTTTTGTCCATGTAATGTATTTTAGCATATCGAATTAAGCAAGCTAAGGTTTAATTCATTGGGTAGGTGTTTTGTGTTTTGTTTCTTTTTTGTTTTTTTTTTAAATTATTATTTTGTTTTTTCTGACCAAATACAGTGTTAAGCAAGTGTTTATTTCTGGGCTCTTAATATAAACATAATGTGCAGGAAAACATTTTTCAACCTAAATTTAGTCCAGTCTGTTAAACATGTGTGTACTGTTCTAATTATGCAGGCAGGTTTAGTTCCGCTTCTGAAAAGGGGCACCCGGTTTAGCTACAGCAGTACTGACGTGTTGTCAGAACAGTTTAAACATGGTATATTGCATAATATTACACAGAGATGGTTACTCAGGATATCCCAGCAGTAGCAGTATTTCTCAACGTTGCCAGCACTTGCTTGTGTCTCACAGCTCCACTCCTTGAATTCTTTTCTCCTTTTATCATTCCACATCACTCAGCACCGCTCCTGCAGTCATTCTTTGCCTTTTTTTTTTTTCTTCCTTTTTTTTTTTTTCCCTGTGCTTATTATACCTTCATGTTTACACTTTAAATCATTTCCAGTCTCAGTTCTTCTCCAAGCTCCAATAAAATCAAATTGTTACTGTTCATACATAATTACCTGACAGGCTTTTGCGCCTACGCACTTGAACTGACAGCTTTCAGTGTGAACACCCAAACCGTCATGAAATTCTTCCCACTTCAGATGTGTCACCTGCACTCTGGCTGACATGAGAACTCCAAGTGACGTTTAAGTGTCTTAATGACGACTGAATCAACAAATGTAGCGCTCACTTCGACTTCAGCTGATATCGGAACAATTAAATATGGCACTTAATTAGACTGAAGTGATTACGGCTGCAACTTGAATTAATTATTTTGTCTGTAGTTGTTCAGTGGTGGGCATGCGACGTAATGTTGAACAGTTTCTAAACTTTTTTTTGTTTGTTTTAAATTGTGTGCCCTTGCAGTGATCAGAACTATGTGATCAGCTTCGTGGTTCCCAATCAGAAAAAGCTCACAGAACTGGCCAAACAGAGGAGCATAGAGGGGACATGGGAGGAGATCTGCACTAATCCTGAAATGGAAAGCGAGGTCTTGAAGGCGATCAAGGAGGTCGCCACTAACAGTAAGTCTTTTCACAGCATTGCGATAACAGAAGCTTTGCAAGTTTTGCTTTCATCCATACTTTGTCCAAACGTGCCTGAACATCACTTTCCTTCCTTGTAGTTAAACTCCAGAGATTTGAGATTCCAGTGAAGGTGCATCTGAGTCCAGAGCCGTGGACGCCTGAAACGGGCCTAGTCACAGATGCATTCAAGTTGAAGAGGAAAGAGCTGAAGAACCACTATCTCCATCACATAGAGAGAATGTATGGGAGGAAGTAACTTCCAGCAGGCCCACACCACCCAGGAGTTACTGCTTTCACCATAACCACGATTTTGATGTGCAAATATTCCTCTGGTTACAAAGCTGTAGTTTATTTGTGTTCCACAGCTTCACAGAGAAAAGCGTAAGCTATAAATAGTTGTAGCCGTTTATCCGTGTGTGTGTGTGTGTGTGTGTGTGAGAAATTGTGTTTGTAAGAGATGCACCAAAGTGTCAGTTTTTGTTATTAGAAGGGTGAAAGGCTATTGCAGCTCTCAACTGCCATCCATTGGAAATTGCTGGGACTCTTATTTGTAGCTGTTAGAAACGGCACCTTCGGTCCACATGTTGCTTAAGTCTTGCTGCTGCTTTCATTGAAAATGTTTCAAAAAATAAAGGAAAAAAAATGCGACCATGATCACAGAGGCATGTCATGCTGTTTTGTAAAGTTGGAGTACTGATGTTAAGGTGCCTTCAGTCTGCAGTTCTCATGTAGTCGAGCAGAGGTGGTAGCTAGACAGTAAAAAAGAAAAGTTACAAAAAAGGCTGAATGCCGTGTTTACTTGAAAGGAAAAATACTCCCCACCGCAGACACATCGACACGATCAAGAGCATTTACAGTCGTTTGTCCGTGTCTGTGTATTTAGCTTTGATTTTGTTTCTTACCTGTTTTATTTATGCTTTAATGTTATTTTAATGGTTTGTTAAGAAAGGAAGACCAAAATGTGTTGGCCTAAATGACTCAGGAAGACAGACAAATGTTTTAATATATGAAGTTGTCAAATGTGGGGTATAGAAACATTTTGACAAATGTTTGTAGGCACCTTATTAAAAAAAAACACACAATTAACTACTAAACTGCTTAGCCTTTATTATAGTCACAACTGGCATACTGTAATACTGTGCGTACTTTACCTCAGTTAATAGGTTATTGTACGATTTGGTATAAAGGATCCTCTGAACTCAGTTTTAATGTGTTTTCTATGTATTTTTCCAAATACTATCATGTTGGTGGATTTGCATTGTTAAAAGTTTTAAGTACACAGACGATGGCAGTCACTTTAGTTGTTTGGTGAACCTACGTGTATTTATTACTCCCATCATTGCAGTCACATGCCATGTTCGACATTTCAAGAATAAACACCTTTTCGTACTCAGTGTTGTATGACACTTTATTTTATTACAAAAAACTGAATATACAAATGCAATATTGATTATTATTAAGGTGATCACTGCTGAAGCCTTTGTACACTTCAGGGGAAAGCAGAGCCTCAGCTATTCCAGTCTTGAAAGCGGAAACAGTCGCTAGCGATCTTCCACACGGGCTGATCGTTGTTGGGTGAAGCCTGAGCTGTTAGGAGAAAGTTCTGGTTGAAAAAACGCTGTTTGTTCCCTTCAAACTTGACTATGCCACCGGTCACCACAAGCAGTGTTGTCTGGCCTTGGGTTGCTTGCTCTGTGAGTGAGGAGAAGTTAGTTATTTTCTAAAGCAGCAACAGAAGAATAAAGGTTTACATTCACATTTTAATGAGACAATATGATTAATGGGGATCAATTTAATAGTTCAAATGTGTTGAGTTTGGGATTGACCCACTGACCGTGCACAGGCTGGCAATCCAGTGTTTGAACCTGGAACTCGCTGGATGGCAGTGACTCAAAAAACTCGCCCAGGGCTTCCTGTCCTGACACCGCATTTCCGTTCCACACCAAGGTAGCCTTGTCCAGGTAGAGCCGGATTAAGTTCTAGCACATGGGAGCCAGACAATGGTGAACATTAACAGCAACAGTGCCATCAGCCTGTAGCAGAGCACCATGCTCATTAGCTCTAGTGAAACTGAAAGGTTGTGATCTTTAAAATGAAAACTATCACTTTAAGAATAAGACTGCTTTCACTGCAGAGGAGCTGTGGGTTAGTGGGGAGCTCATAGTTGAATCCACTTTAATAAATTTACATCACAGGCCCAAATAAGGAAGTCTTCACAATATCTCTTACTTAGAAGATTTTAAAGCTAAGTTTCAACATGCTATAACCTACACTCATTGGCCACATTATTAGGTACTTATTCAAGCTGGAGCCCAACCGATGTACTGACCAATATATCAGGACTTATAATGGCCAAAAGATGAAAAACGTAAAGATGAAACACCCAGAAGAGCATCTGTGAATGCATTCAAACCTTGAAGCAGATTGGCTACAGCAGCAGAAGACCACAGGCTGTCACTCCTGTCAGCTAAGAACAGGAAGCGGAGACTACAATTCACACGTGCTAACTAAAGTTGACAAAATACAGAAGACTAGAAAATGTTGCCTGATCTGATGATTTTTGCTTTCTGCTGCAACATTTGGCAGGGTCTGAATTTGGTGTAAACAAAGTGATAGCACAGATCTATCCTTGTATCAACAGTTAAGGATGGTGGAGGTGTGATGGCGTAGGTCAGTGATTCTTAAAGTGTGGGCTGCCCCACCCCCGGCAGGCCACAAAAGGTACTGCAGGTAGGCTGCAGTAATAACAGAAATTCAGTTTGTAATTACTCACAAGTATGTACACTTAAACATTTATATACATTTATACATTTATCTGAAACAGAAATTAAAATTGGTAACTGGAGGTGGTTAGTTTGTGATATTACTCATTACTTTAACTTCAACTCTGTAATGAAGGAGTGGGTCACACATTGGCCTTAACACTTTTCATACGACTGCACAACATTAGCAATTTATAGCTAATGTGGTTTGTGTTTTTGGAATAACATTTTCAATGAAATACGTCATTTTCGTTTGGTCTTTAACATTTATATTGGAGTTTAAGATTTTTTGGGACATTTTCTTGGTACATGGCTCCTTTGTACCAGCTGTTTAAATGTCACATCTTAGCTGACGTTGCTGACCATACGCATCCCCTTGTGACCACAGTGTAGTCATCTTCTGATGACTACTACAAGCTCTTCCATCACATTGCAAAGCTCAGGCCGTCTCAGACTGGTTTCTTGAACATGACAATGAATTCACTGTAGTAAAATGGCCTCCGGTCATTAGATCACAATCCAACTTGGCCTTTCAAAGTGGAACAGGAGTTACATCATGGATATGCAGCTGACAAATCTGTGACGCTGTCAAGTCCACAAGCACCAAAATCACTTTGTTGAATCTTTGCCATGAAGATTTAAGACGGGACTGAAGGAAAAAGAGGGGCGCAACTAGAAATGTGTGCCTAATGGAATGACCGGTGTTCCAGATCTACTGGCGTTTAGATCTACTGGCGTTGGTCGAACAGATGTGTGGCAGACTTGCGTTTCAGGAGCTCCTACCGACAAACCAGCAAAAAAAAACGCCAAATGTGTCACCTGTGACACTTGTGAGGTTATCTCAAACACACTCCGTCAGTCTTGATGCTGTTGAACAACAAAATGTTTAAAAATGTGGCGAGTTTACCTGGTGATATCCTCATGCGCGACGCGATCGCGAAAACAGCAAACAATTAACACCACGCCGATGTTGTTCACGGGACAGCAAGAGTAAACGATCGGGAGACTCTTGTCGTCGTTATCGTCCCCCTCGCACGGTTTATTTCTCCGGTTTCAGCGTTTTTGCTTCACAACTACAGCGAGCAGTTTACTTTGTGCACTAACATGGAGTCGAGTCAACCAGCGCCACCTCTGGCCAAGTGCCACAGCCTACAGCCAGATCAACCTGTGACACACATCTGCAGCACGTTTGAATTCGTGTCATGCACAACACATTTGTACCTTTCAATTGTGTCTGTTTGTGGGTCATGCAAATAAACCTTTGAAATGAATGAAATGATATCATATATTCCTTATTGGCCTACATTTGTACAAAATTCCAAATTATATACACAAAGTCATAGAAATCACCACTCCAATTGGTCATCATGATTTTGATATTCTCTTTTTCCATAACAATGAAATACACCTTGGACAAATATGACAAATCAATATTTAATTAGTGTTGTCACATCACATCCTGTAAGCAGAGTCTGCTTGTGTCTTTTCCCTGGAAATTAATATTTCCAGCCAATATAGGCAATCCATCAACATGGCTGGGGAGTTGGTAGTTATATACAATCTGTATAAGTGTGGTTAATCTAATGAAGATTTGTAAGGAGATGGCAGTTACTGTGAATTCACAGCAGTTACACAGTGATTAGTAATAAACAGCCAGTGAGAGTGAGTGGATTTAAGAAAGTCAGTGACTCAGGTGTGTCGCTTGGTTTGTCATCTGTTTGTGAGACTGGAGGAGACGCAGAAATCTTTTGTTTTAAATCTTAGTTAGGAAGGTTCCTGTTTGAAAACAAGCACTTTTTGTGAGAAATGCAAGAAGTACATCTGCAGAAAGCACACAGTTACATTCTGTCCATCATGTAGACAAAATCGAAAATGTTGAGCATTGAAAAACTGAGAAAGTTGGGCAAGTTCAAAAGAAATGTGTTTGTAAGAACGAAAAACCAAATTGTTCCTAAAATAGTTATGTAAAGTCTAACAGTTGTATGTCTGTGTTCTACATGTTTATCTAATGGGAAATAAAGTTGCTATTGTTTTATTGCAGTTTTTGGATAATTCTGAGTGGATTTACACAGTACGGATCTAAATGACCCGCAACAAAATCAATGTCAATTGTGTGTTCTTCAACTTAATACAAGGGTTAATTTCCAAAACTTCCATATGATCTTCAATTTGTAGCAGATCCACTATCACACAGCAGCTGGAGCAGTTTCAAATGGAGGTCAGTCCTAGTGATGTGACATTCTGTATCGAGGCTTCGAAGCTTGTGTCGAGTAATTGAGGGGGCGTTTCCGCGATGCGCGTAACGAGGCTTGCTTCATTTATGGGAGGAGCTGAAAATGAGACGTCCGAAGCCTCGCTGCCCGGCTGTACCACGTGACTGGTTCAGGAAGTGGTTCGAACTTTGCCGCGAGCTATGACAGAGATATAAACCCCTCAGACTTCATTCAAAATGTGGGTGTTTGATGGAGAGTTGCTGTTAGTGAGAGTTTGGAGACCGTTTGGAGGTTTATGAGAGTGAGGAGAGAAAGTCAGGAGAGAATGGAGCCAGCTAAGAAGAGGAGGATGTCCTCCCCTGTGTGGGAACATTTTGATCTTATTCCTCCCAACAAGGTAAATTTCTACAGAAGATGTATTTTCATAATACTGATGGTGCAATACAATTTATGTTAAGCTGTCTTGACTTTTGTACAAGGTGAAGTGTTTGCTATGTGCCAGGGAGCTGGGATATAACAACAACACCTCATCCATGCTTAGGTACTACAGAGCTTTGCATGAGAATAAGGGGAACACCGATTGTGGGGCAAGACCAGGTGAGCCATCAAATGGAATGATAATATAGCATGCAGTAATGTTACTAAATGATATAACAATATTATACAACTGTAATAAGTTACGTGTGTGATATTTATATTTGTGCTTTGTTCTCCTGAGGAAAGACAATAAAGACAATCTCAAATAGATGAAGACCTGGTTAGCATGGTGATTGAGGACTCCCAGCCATTTAGCATTGTGGAGGACAAAGGATTTAAAAGATTTGTTAAATCATTAAATCCTAGCTATGTTCTCCCCACTAAAAAGTAGGGGTGCAACGATACACAAAATTCACGGTTCGGTTCGGTTTGATACTTTGGTGTCACGGTTCGATATTTTTTCGATACAAAAAAAAATGTTCATGCCTTTTTAATTTGTCATTTATTAAAATTATAAATATATATTTTAACACAAAAGTACAGTTTTTAAATTTAACCCTAACCCTTGTGCGTGTTGTTTTTTAGCTCGTCATATTGCAGCCACAGAAATTCTTTTGTCCATGAAACCATAAAGCTGCACTTTCTTTTTGCCTTATAGTCTGATTTGTCATAACTTCTCCGTTTTGTGGTAAGCTTTTCTTTGGCTGTCACTTCTTCACCCTGACCTGTCTTATTTGGCTCAGCAGAACTAAAATATATATCTGTCTGTGAAGGTTCTCAATCATCCAGGTCATCGTAGTGAAATATATATCCTGCCGCACTCACATAAGCTCAGCGATTCTCTGCGCGATCAACCTCTCACATGTTTAAGCTGCGGGAGATTTCACTTGTCATGTTTGCATAGTAAGCTAACAATTAATAAGACGATGTCAGAGGAATTGGTGCACAAATTATCATCACTCACAGATCAGTGCTGTCGCTCTCTATACACAGTTCATACAATTGCAAAGTGAAAGCAAAAAAACAAGCGCAAATTCAAACACGATTTCAATATGTCACATATTGACAGTGGCTCACCCAATGACATAATTACCCAGCTACATTTCTGAAAGAATGCAAAAGCATTGACATATATTTTTCCTTCCTACAATAGCCCGACAGGCAGGGGAGAGATAGCCCCGGGACGTCGGGCTAGCGATATTGCGAGCCCTGTATCTGATTGAGGAATCACTCATCTTTGGAAAAGAGAGTTTACTACAGAGAAATGTCTCTTTCCAAAATAAAAGCTATACTATCCGCTTCTTCTGGGCTATATTCTCAGCAGCATATTAAACATATCAGGTCTCCATAAGGAGAATCCTGTGCTAACAGCTGTCTAAATGACTCGGCTAAAGTTTGTAGCATGCATGCTTGTTGTTTTTGTCTTTGCACTAGGATGATGTCGGTGTAAATGTGCAGTCATATTCGTTGTGTTCCCACTAGTGCTTTCAGGTTAATCGCGTTGAAATAACCTTAACGCCACAACACGGCAAATCTCCGTTAACGAGCTACCCTATACAGAGGGGCTAGACGGCCAACACGTTAACGAGCTAACTGCGCTAACACACTAGCTCCCACCCATGTAATTGAGCATTGCATGGCACATCCAACATACTGTTTTACTTTAGTCCATGACTCGCTTACCTTCAGGGTCATACGTCACATGAAAACCAAAATAATTCCAAACGCCAGATCTGAATGAGGGTGGGGAGGTCCACTTCTGTCTCGCTAGCTTGCCCTGCGCTCTTCCTTCTGACCATGCTGTCTGTGTTGAGTGCTCAGTGAATCTGCGTTCGACTACTCCGCCTAGGCTGCACTCTCGAGCCTAGGCGGAGTAGTCAAATGCAGATTCACTGAGCGCTCAACACAGACAGCATCGTCAGAAGGAAAGTTGATAAAATAAATTACAAATTTTGTATTGTTCTTTTTTTTTCTCCCCTTTGGTTTTCTTTCTTTCTCTCCCCCTCTTTCTTTCATTCTTTCCCCCTGTCCTATCCCACAGTCATGTCTGTCCCGTTTGCAACTGAAAATAAAATAAATTCATAATTATAATAAAGGTCAATCAAATGGACCAATATGATGATCCACTTAAAATAAATCCTCTTGGCATCTTTCTTGGCCTCAAGACAACAATTCTGATGGCTATAGATCCAAACGGGACACAAAAAAAAAAAAAAAAAAAAAAAAAAAAATTGAAAAAAAAAAGAAAATTGAAAAAAATTGTATTGTTCGATACATATGCGTACCGAACCGAAAGCACTGTATCGAACGGTTCAATATCGATACGAATATCGTTGCACCCCTACTAAAAAGGTCATAAAAGCAGTGAAAATTTAGTTTTTACAGAATAAAATGTGAACAGGCAGGACTGAGGCCTCAGTCTGTAGCTGTCCATACCTCAACGTTACAAAAGCACAACTACTGTCCACACCCCAACCACACCTCACCTCACAGTAAATGATCATTTCCATTTTAAGCATTTCCAAATAATCATTTTCCATACTGCCAGTATAAATATACACAGTATACTGCCATCACTACAATATACATGTTTTACACACTGTTTTATACACTTTTGTTGTTGACATTTACAGGCTGTGTGCAAAAGGCCACACTCTTCAAATTCATGCCAACTAATATTTTTACGTCCAGTAGGTGTCCTACTAGAGCAAATGAAGCTTCAAGAAGCTTTGCGCTGGGATGAACCAATTGGATGAAAAGCTTCAGTGCTTCATGAAGCTTCATCTGCCCATCACTAGTCAGTCCACTACTACCATAGCCTACCACTAGATTAACTTGTGACACATCTGCACCTGCTGCTATGATCACATTGAGTAGAGGCTGAGTGGCTGCACTTACCCCTGGTACATCCAAATCTACCCACAAACATGTTGAAAGATGCAATGCCAGCAATGTGGATTGTCAACACTGAAAACAATCAGTAAGCAAAGACAACAGGGATAAATTTTTTCTGTTTTAGCACCCACAACATTTGTAGTCGCCTTCTGCACAGGGGAAGTCCACACACACCGTGTGGTACCACTTTCCACAGAAGGTGCATTCAATCTGCAAGATTGAATGAGATTGTCAGAGTCATTGTCTGACTGTTTATTACTAATCACTGTGTAACTGCTGTACATTCACAGTAACTGCCATCTCCTTACAAATGTTTATTAGATTAACCACACTTATGCAGACTGTATATCACAACCAACTCTGAAATGTTCGTTTGCAGAGGGAAGACACAGGCAGACTATGCTAACGACATGTGATGTTACAACACTGGTGAAATATTAGTGTGTCATATATTTGTTCACGGCATTTTTCTTATGGGCAAAAGTATTGATATCAGGATGGTGATTCTTATGATTATGTGTATGTCATTTGGCATTTTGTACAAATGTAGGCTGATAATAAATACATGATATCATTTCATTCATTTCAATGGTTTATTTGCATGACGCACAAACAGACACAATTGAAAGGTACAAATGTGTTGTGCATGACACGAATTCAAACGTGGTACAGATGTGTGTCACAGGTTGATCTGGCTGTAGGCTGGGGCACTTGGCCAGAGGTGGCGCTGGTTGACTCGACTCCATGTTAGTGCACAAAGCAAACTGCTCGCTTTAGTTGTGAAGCAAAAACGCTGAAACCGGAGAAATAAACCGTGCGAGGGGAACGATAACGACGACAAGAGTCTCCCGATCGTTTACTCTTGCTGTCCCGTGAACAACATCGGCGTGGTGTTAATTGTTTGCTGTTTTCGCGGTCGCGCATGAGGATATCACCAGGTAAACTCGCCACATTTTTAAACATTTTGTTGTTCAACAGCATCAAGACTGACGGAGTGTGTTTGAGATAACCTCACAAGTGTCACAGGTGACACATTTGCCGTTTTTTTGCTGGTTTGTCGGTAGGAGCTCCTGAAACACATCTGTTCGACCAACGCCAGTTGATCTAAACGCCAGTAGATCTGGAACAACGGCACTTTCGGGCCACCGTATGTAGTTTGGTCTTACAAATTAATTTAAGTTAAATTACAGAAAGAAAACTCACCCGCCTCTTCTTATCCATACAGTCGTAATAAATGTTGACAAATTCTTCTGAATATCTGCATGACTGGTCGGCATGAGTCCTGAAATCCTGAAGAGATAACTACGTATTACTCAAAGCTGGACACGGTGATTTAACGTGTTTTTTTTGGAAACGGCATGGAAAAGCTTACCAGGGTGGTTGCCATATGAACAGATAAATTATTGGAAACAACTCAAAACAAAAATATTACAAAAAGACCGAGAAAACGTCACAATTCAAACTTCTTTTCTTCTCTTGTTATTCCTTTAGCAACCAACACATTTCTATCACACTGGGTATTACTTCCTCGGGGCACCAACTCTGCCTACCAAAATAAGATGTCAGTACAATCTTTCAGACTCATTTAAGCTTCTCTCTTCCGAGTTCCACTTTCATGTCGTGTTTTTTACATTTTAAGGAAACAATAGTGGTAGTAAATGTTGACTGTGTGGATAATAACGCGGAAGTGGCGTGGCAAAGTCAGTACCATTTTGGTGATGGAGTTTTAGTTTGAAAAGAAAAGGTCGACCAGCGCGGAAAGAGAACTCATAATTTCCTGAGTCATTGCTTCTGTGGTTTATTAAACGAAATAACTAAAGAGTATCCTCAGTAAGCTTTAATATATTTATTTGGACATTTAGCTATATTTTAAGAATGGAGGGGTCTGTGTCCAATGTGGAGGTGTGTAACTTTGCTTACACGGGGCAGTTTGAGAAATTAAAACAGTGCATCCTGTCAGATAAAACGCTTGCCTGCAAAACAGACCAGGTAAGAACACATGACCCACCAGTACAGCCTGCGGGAATTCGTTTTTCCCTACAGTAAATCGGAATAATAATTTTCTTTTTAAAGCAACACAACTTTCTGTGATTTCAGGACCGGAGAACCGCGCTGCACTGGGCTTGTTCTGCTGGACACACCGATATTGTGGAGTTTCTTCTTGACATGGGAGTTGAAGTGAACCTGCAAGATGATGTAAGTTTATTTGTGGGTACATTAATTCTTTCCTTCTGTAGACTTTTCCCTATAAGGTGCCATGTGACCATTAATACAAGAGATATACTGATGAACACATTGTTTCAGAATGATGCCACTGATGTCTGTGTTTTGTTTTTCGCTCTCAGGCTTCGTGGACCCCTTTGCACATTGCAGCATCTGCAGGCAGAGAAGACATCGTGAGATCTCTGATATCCAAAGGAGCTCAGCTCAACTCAGTTAATCAAAATGGATGCACCCCTCTGCACTACGCCGCCTCCAAAGACAGATATGAGGTAACATCCACAGGTTGCAGTATTAGTCCTCCATACTTCTGCAGTCAGTTAATACAGTTGTGTTATCTCCCCGTTTAGTTCAGTGGTGCTTTGTTTCTGCACATAATTAATTATATAGTGTTGTGCAAAAGAGTTTGGACATTTGTCTGCTTTTTCCACTTATCTTCGGTCCAGTTCTTATACCTCACAAATTTCAGAGAAGTATTTTTTCCATATAAGCCACATAACACTAACCTATGAATCATTCAAACAAACAAAAAAAGACACCTAACTCAAGGAATGAGCCAGTGTTGGCTGCACATAACAGACGAATTAGCAAAGAACTAATTTTAAATAGTATCTTTAGGCACTTTGTTACTAGCAGCTTGTCATGAAAACACAATTCATTCCCATTTCTTTAGTTAAATCTACAATAATGCCAGAGATAAAAAAAAAAAAAAGATTAAGAGGCATAAAATGTCTTGTATGCCAAAAACATGGCAAACCTCACCACGGTGTGCAGTATGTCCTTTAAATGAAAGTGGACAAGTGGACGACAAAAGAAGTGGCAGGCAATCTACAACAAATGCAACAATATATTTAAGTCATTTTCTCAAAAAATAGGAAAAATCAAGGAAAGACCTGACATAGAACCTGAGAAGATGCATCTCGCACTTCTGTTGACCCATCTGCTGTTCACTGAAGCCTCAGAAATGGTCTCAGCTGAAGGTTGGCTATCAAGAAGCCATTCTTAAGGAAGGAAAATAGGGACAAAAGGCTCAAGTATGACAAATTACACAAGAACTGGACTGAAATCGGTGGCAACACATCTGATGGAGTGATGAATTTAAATGTGAAACTTTTGGTTAAAATTGTTGTCAGTGGTGTAGCTCAGGGGAGAAGTACAGCTGTGAGTGTCTTCTAGTGATGGGCAAAGCACAGCTGTGTGAAGTAGTGAAACATTTGAAGCAGCTGTGCCAGGATTGTACTGAGGTTTCAAAACAATTTCCACAGTGACACCCACTGGCCACTTTTACTATTGTCATGTCTTGATGATGTCTACTCTGTGAACACACAACAAACGTGTTTTGCACAGTTCTAAATAAAGCTATAAGTTATACCAGGCTAACAATAAGTATGACCAGCGCATGATTTGGAGAAATCCTCATTGACCAAAGCGAGAAAAACTTTGAGACTGATGAAGCATGTCTCACGCATGTACACACGTGTTAATATATTAAAGACTCTGCATTTAGTTATTTATTTTTATTTATTTTTAATACAAATTACCTCCTCAGCCTTGGAAAAACTACAATTAAACAGTACACTTCTTGTGGGTATATATTGGTATATTTTGTTTTGTTCTTTTTACTTTTTTCCAAGATGTGCTGTTTATTCAAATGTTTACATCATTGCTCCAAATACATTAGTGCATCATGTGCCCTTGGAACAAATGCATCAGTGAGGTATGTATTTTTTTTTTACTTCTACAGTGCCATCAGTAATTACACTGTGAATACTGTGGGTGACACTAAACCTGGCTGTGGTTGCTGTTGCCACTCCTGGTGCTGCAGATGACTCTTAAGCTTTTTTACCCACAACCTTAAAAGCCTGATAGGGTATTTTCAGATTTATACTGTAGGCATAAAGGGGTAGAACTGGTGCCCGCTGGTATTTCCATAGTTTGCGATGTCATCAGTTTTTGTTCTACACTTAGACACAGTGGGTAAGCCCCTGAAAGCTGAAGTGAAACACACCAAGACTTCAGTCAGCTATGGCCATGTGATCTGAGCTAATGCGTCCTAAGCATTTTGAAAAAAGATAATTATGCAAAGTAGGACTTTTCAGGGCCCAGTTTACCCGACATTAGTACAATAACACTGGCTCTCAATATAGTAATAATCATTAGGAATGATTGCATATTAATTCAAATTAATTGTTTATCTGTTGCTGTTATTTATTTATTTATTTTTTTATTTATTTTTTCAAATTTTGCCCTCGCTTCCTGCAGGTGGGCCCTGTAATATGCTACAGGTGGGGTGCTGAATGGTGGGTTACACCGGTGGGTTTCTTGTTCTCTACACAAGCTCTACTGGTGCTTCACACACAAATATAGAAAGTGCAACAGAACACAGGAAAGGGGGATAAATGCACTTCAATAGAGTAAGCATGGCAGGAGGCCAGCTTGAGACTGGGGCATCCATGGGGGAGGCAGGTGTTGGACCCTACAGCACACCTTTATTCTGTGGCTTGCCTTTGCTGGAATGTCTAAAAGCCCTCCTCTTCTTATTAAGATAATTTTCATTACATTTTTTTTCTTTCTTCCCGTATAGTATGACTAATGTACCTTTGTCTGCTGCTTTTACTTTCCTCACATCAAGATAAACAGCAATCCCATCACCTACACCCACAACCGTCTTGCTGTTTCTTGTTATCTTTTTTTTTTTTCTTATTACCCCTGTGTTACCACCCCTTTATTATCGCTGCGCCCTATACACACAGGGCTTGGCTTATGAGTAACCACTCTCTGTCACCTATAAGTCACGCCCTGTACACGCAACAGGTTATTAAATTTTTGAAACATGTTCTCATCCAGGGTACCAGGATTCGATTGTGCCTTTTTGTCTTTTCTTAGATCAGCATAAAGTTTTCTCTTTAGAATGAAACTTGTAGATATGAGCTTTAGTACTTTTAAGGAAACCCTGTAGGAATAAGTAAAATATAATTATAGGTTGCTTATACTTCTCAAATGTGCAAAACAAAACAGCTTTTCTTTAACAATAAACTTGTTGTGCTGAATATTTGTCTCCCCCTTGTGGCACATAGAGGTATTACAAAGATACCGTCAACACGTGCTTGTAATGTGTTCCCGCTGTGTTCACTGCTTATGTACAGTTTTCAGTTAGACTCTAACCTTTCCTCTGGACATGTAATGAAGTTTTATTTCCGTATTTGTTTTTATCTGGAGTATTAGAAGGTTTTACTGAACATTTCTTATTTGTTCTGAACCATCATCACTAATACATCAATACATCCCGTCTTGCTCTCTGAGAAGGATCCCTTGGATATAAGAAAAGATGATTTGTCAGCTTTATTTAAAAACAAAAAAAAACAAAAACAAAAAAAAAATCACTATCTGCAGCTTTATTTTTAAGATGACAAGAATGTTTTATTCAATATAACTGATAATAATATAACAATAAAAGGACATAGCTATCTCAAAAATCGTGGCATTGTTGTAGCATGTATGCTGCAGTACCTATATCATTGCTAATATTACAAAGATTTAATAAAGACCTATGTATATATGGGAGACTTGAGATGGTGGGAAACGGGGTCCAACACACTGCAACAATCAAGATGCATTTTTTTTGTTAAATCAAATGTGCATATAAAAGATCATGAAACTGAATTTTTTCATCGTCTTCTCTCACAAGGACTTGGACATGACATGAATGGATTTCATTGTACATTTACAGGATTTTATTTCAACCACAGGTTTCTTTTCCCAGTCAGGATTGTCCTAACTTTCAGTCTCACTTCCTAACGTGAAACTTCCACATGACTGTGGTAACCAAAATGATGAGATCTGAAAATGGGTATTTCATAGAAACTAGAAATAACTGGATGTAAAAGTGTGGTTTTCAGCTTGTGAATGAAACATGGTTACCTCTTTGCAGATTGCCCTGCTGCTGTTGGAAAATGGAGCAGACCCCAATGCTACTGACAAGCTGGACTCTACGCCTCTTCACAGAGCATCTGCCAAGGGCAACTACCGGCTCATCCAGCTGCTTCTCAAACAGAGTGCATCAACAAATATTCAGGACTCACAGGGCAACACGCCTCTGTATGATTACATATATGTCACATGCAATTTTTTTTAACATCATGCAATATGAATACAAAGATGAACTCTAATTATACCTAAAAATAAAATGTTTTCTTACTTATCCTAGCAGTACTAGAAGTTATCATCCACATTACATTAGCTATACAGTGTGATTAGCATTGGGGGGGGAGGCATTTCTGTATTTATAGTTATGCATTGATTTTTATTTTTTTCTTCTCCCAGCCATCTTGCATGCGATGAGGAGCGTGTTGAAGCAGCCAAGTTGCTGGTGGAACATGGAGCGAGCATTTACATTGAGAACAAGGAGGAGAAGACCCCGCTCCAGATAGCAAAGGGCAGTCTTGGGAACATACTCCGTCAGATCGTGGAGGGATGATGCTTTATCTGACCGACGCGTCTTGTTCCAGCTCAAATCCCCACCACCAACCGCCAAGTTACATTCTAAGATTTCCCATCCCGCTCAGTCCTCCTTAAGCGGTCCGTGTGGAAGATGAGATGATGGACTCAGATGGTGCTTTGAGACTGCACAGATCTTATTTGTTGTCTGAGCACAGGTTTTCAAACCCCACAGGCTATTTTCTATTAAATTTGAATTGTAATGTAAAACATGAAGTTCAACCTGTTAATAAATGTGATGTTCATGAATGACGTACTGCTGCCTTTAGTAATTTAAGCTATTATTGCACAAAATATTGTGAATGTTTCCTACATTTTTGTTCTTTTTATTATTAGCTTATACCCAGGTTCCTTAAAGACTAACTGAAAATATTGTTGCCTACCTGCAACAGTATTAACCTCTCCCCTGGTGATGGTGACATATAGGTGTGGCAACAGTGCAACAGAGCTTTATCTGACCACACCCCAAAACCCTGGACATTAAGAATCCTAAGCAAACCGTTTTTGGACTTCTCAGATTTCAGATTAACTGAATAACAAATAAAAAGTTGTGCAGCTTCATTGTTTTTAAGCTAAATCTTAAATAATGCGTACCTTTGTAGCATGTCAACCTGACAACTTCCCAGCACAACAGCTATTTAAATCCTGCAGTACTCATGCAATATGTTATATGTTATTTATAATACTGCCAATACAAGGAACAGTGAGTGGAAAACAGAAGTGGCCAGGTTTTCCCTATTGACGTAGTGCTGCAAAGCGTTTGTTTCTTGTTCCCTGTTCCACATGTTGAGATTATGGCCCACATTTTTATTAGCGGAAGTTTTCAGCCTTCTTTTCTATAGTCTGCCTTTTACTCAATGGCTGTGAAGGAAGCAGCAAAGGGTGTCTTCATTATGACAGGCTGTCGACACTGAAGTGGAAAATTTCCCCCACAAGCAAAGCAGGTTTTTGTGGAACATGACTGAAACTACCACAAAGGAAAATAAAGCTAGAATAAGCATGAAACTGCTGGGAAGGCAACTCTCACTTGTAACTCAGCTCAAAAAAACAAATGGATAAGTTGATGGAAGCCAAATGATTGCTGGAGAAAACGGAAAGAACAGTAAATAATAGTTTTAAAGGACTCTGAGACAAAAAAGAAGAATACATGAAAGTGAAAAGACTGTCACTTAACAAAAATATCAAGTTTTAGCACATGCTAAAAGATTCTCAGTGTTAGGAATGGGTCCAATGTTCTACCACATTGAGTTTGCTGGGATCTGGCCAGCCTATAAATTGAGGAAGCTTCAAATTGCCTAAAAATAAGTGAATAGTTTTTAGGTATTTAAAGGATGGCCAAGGTGAGCAACAACACTCAAGTATGCTGTGACATTTAAATGATGTTCCTTTGGTATTAAGAGGCCAAGAGTAACCATTTCAGCACCATCAGCAGCTGCTTGAACCACTGATAAAAACCAGGCTGGATCCACGACTTCATGTCGTTTAATCCAAATGTACAATTTGGATCCAAATGTACAGTATTTAACTCTGGAAACAGAAGCTGTGAGATGGACCTTTAAAAAGGTCAATCCTCACAAAGCTCCAGGACCAGACGGCATCCCAGGCCGGCTTCTCAGAGTGTGTGCCGACCAGCTGGCAGGGGTGTTCACCAACATCTTCAACCTCTCCCTGAGGCAGTCAGTGGTCTCCACGTCCCTCAAAGCATCCACCATCATTCCCGTTCCCAAAAAATCAGTGGTCTCCTGTCTGAATGACTACTGTCCTGTTGCACTGACATCCGTCATCATGAAGTGCCTGGAGCGGCTGGTCAAAGGTCACATCTGCTCCTCCCTCCCTGACACACTGGACCATCTTCAGTTTGCCTATCGGACAAACAGAGCCACAGAGGATGCCATCGCCCTGGCAACGCACACCACCCTCACTCACCTGGAGAAAGGGAATACATATGCAAGGATGCTCTTCATCGACTACAGCTCGGCATTTAACACCATCATCCCCTCAAAACTTGCCACGAAGCTCGTCGACCTTGGGCTGGAAACACCAATCTGCAGATGGATTCTAAACTTCCTCACAAACAGGCCCCAGGTGGTGAGAGTTGGTAAGCACCCCTCTTCACCACTCATCCTAAACACAGGTACGCCACAGGGTTGTGTGCTTAGCCCCCTCCTATATTCCCTGTTCACACACGACTGTGTTGCTAAACATGAGTCCAACATCATCATCAAGTTTGCGGATGACACAACCATCATAGGCCTCATCACAGGCAATGATGAGACGGCCTATAGAGAGGAGGTGATGGCACTGTACAAGTGGTGTCTGGAAAATAACCTGACTCTCAACATCAGCAAAACTAGAGAGATGATAGTGGACTACCGGAAACAACCAGTCAGAGAACACCAGCCCAGCCACATCAACGGTGTCAAGGTCGAAAGAGTCAGCAGCTTCAAGTTCCTTGGAGTCAACATCACAGAGGACTTCTCCTGGACCCTTCACACAGACACTGCTATCAGGAAAGCTCGCCAGCGGCTTTATTTCCTGAGGAGGCTGAGGAAGTTTGGCATGAACGCCAACATCACCTCAAATTTTTACAGGTGTGCAATTGAGAGCTTGCTGACGAGCTGCATCACAGTTTGGTACGGAAGCTGCTCTGCCAGCAGCCGTAAATCACTACAGAGGGTGGTGAAGGCAGCAGAGCACATCACTGGCACGAGGCTTCCTGCCATGCAGGACATTTATCTCCAGCGATGCCTCCGTAAAGCACACAGCATCATCAAGGACCACAGCCACCCAGCACATCAGCTGTTCTCCTTGTTACCATCTGGCAGACGTTACAGGAGTCTGTCTGCTCGGACTACAAGACTCAAAAACAGTTTTTACCACCAAGCCATACGACACCTCAACCACAACACTTAAACACACACAACACAGTCCACAGGACGCACTCAGAAGCTACCTGCAGCTTCACAAGTACTCTGTTTAATCTGCACTGGTCACTCCACGTTATTGTTATTGCTATTTATATTTAAAAGTGCAATACTGTAATTTTCTGCTGCTCATTCCTGTGCAATATCCCATCTGCCCTCCCTTCATATTTCTTTTCAAGATTTTCTTATTTAATCACTAGTGTACATATATTTATATTTATAGATACATATATATTTAGTCATCTTTCTCTTTTACCACATCTCTCTAATATTTTGCTCCTTACTATTTTTTATTACTTTATTTTATTTTATTATATTTTCTTCTACTGTATCATGCTGCTTAGTGACTGCTGCTCGTCAAACACATTTCATTACAATGTTGACCATGTGCTAACTTGCATATGACAAATAAAACTGAAAACAAACATGTTCTCAGCTCACAGGAATGCCATCGGGTGTAGTCTATTGCTGAGTCTCATCTACCTCAATGTTTATTGTGTGTTTAATAAAATGCAAAGAACAACATACCAAGGTGTGGTGTTCACACCACATTATGCGCTTCTTCATACCTTGCAACTGACATTCACTGAATAGTTTTTTTTATTTATTTTATTTATTTATTAAATACTAGTATTGCAGGAAAATCCCAGTAGATTAGCAGTTTATTATCAGATTTGCCCATCTTGCACCAGCAACCGTGTTTAAATCACCTTTCTTCCCCATTCTGATGCTCAGTTTGAGGTCGTTTTTACCATTTCTGCCATTTTCCTAAGTGCATTGGCTTGCTGCTCTGTGACTGGCGGATTCGATAGGAGATACATTTAAATTAAACGGCGTAGCTGACAGCTGAAATGCAACTAAATCAGAAAACGGACTACAAATGTAGCTTGTTGGCTTATAAACATAGCTCTCCTGGACGATACTAAGCCATTTTGAGCGAACCCCCATTCTGATCAGAACGTAGAAGCATTTTAATGCAATTTGACTCTTACATAAGTAATCCAGGTTTAAAAATATTATTAATATCAAAAATTTCTTTTTCCAAGAGATCTGGCCAAACACGGAAAACCACCACGGCACGACCCTTTCCTGACGTCACCTGATAAGGCTGTTTTCACTTCCTGACAGGGAGGTCACAAAAGACTTCACCGGAGTCTCCTTTCCGAGGTGTTCGCACTCTACACTATCTGGAGGAAACAGAGGAGCTGTGTTGAAAGGTAAACATTTAAAATTTCGTTATTATATTCGATAAGTCACTGGGTGACCTAGCTAGCGTTGGGTAAAAAGGCTAAGCTAATGTAGCTACCAAGCACTCTGAAGCTAGCATTCGCGATTCCGCTTACGATCCTAGCAGTACAGATCCAAAGCACAGGTCAGAGTCCAAGATTGTCGCTTTGGGTGTTTACATTTTACATATAAAAGCACTTTTAGGTAACTGTATTGACTAATTTCTAACTGAACGAAAACACGGTGTGGGTTTAGCGAGGTCTTGGCTGTCAGTTGCTGTCATTGTTCTCGGCGTTTCCCAGAAACAGTACGGCTTCTGTGTCGTGTTCAACTGAAGCAAAGCTGTGGGGCCTTTCTGGAATTTGCTGGGGTTATATCCTCTCCACTTTGATCATTAATAAATGTTAAAAGAAACACGTGGAACTGCTTGTGGGAAAACTCCCCTGTCGCTGGTTTTACTTTCGGTTAGATGTCGTTCGCAGTTACGAGTCAGTCAAAAAGTGAGCATTTTAATGCGTGGGACGATGCAGTCTTGGCTCAAGTTAAAAAAAAAATAAAAGGATGACGCTGGCGATTGATTTACTTGAAATAATGCAGACACCTAAAGACAGTTCAAAGATCGCATCCCATCAATACGGCAACGTATCAGCTGATAAACAGCTATTTAAACATCTGACCCAGCACACAATCGGTGACTGTGTGCTGTCGTTGGACGATAAGTCCATTTTGCGTCAAACTATGACGCTGAGGAATGTAAAGATTCTGAAATCATAGTTTCACGCCTTGGGTTATTATTGCTCTCTTTCCTCATATTCTGCATTGCCAGGATGTCAAACTCATTTTTCTTCTAAGGCCACATACAAGCTCACTTTAGACCTCAAGCCCAGTGAAACTACCCTTACTCTCAGCGTTAAGAAGTTTATCTGCAAAATCTCATACTTGAGGTATCAAAAAAGAAGGGTGATTTCAACAGTACTTCTCAGATTTTCTTCAGGCCATAGAAACACTGCTGCAGTAGATCAAAGAAACCTGTCAGCACAGCTCTCCAGGGTTAAATTGTAAGAAATAAATGCATAAACTTTCAGAAGTTCTGGCAGCTCA